TGCTGTGGGTGGGGTAGAGGGCTGAAGACTACCTTTCCCCACAGGCGCTGTTACTCTATGAGGAGGAAAGTAACAACGGCGCCGGTGCCCGGTCCTTGCCTCCCACCACGGCTTCGGCCGAACTCCTCACGTACCAGCGGCTGAGCTCCCGCGTACTCTCTCCGCGGCACCCTGCAGCTCCTTATGCAGGCCGCGGAAGATTTCGTGCAGCCGCTCCAAGTGCTCGGAGGAGCCGAGGCCGCGATCCGCCATGGCGCCGAGGAGAGAACAAGCAGCAACTTTCCGAATCTGTCACGAGAGCGCGGTTACCAAGGGCCTGGAGCCGCCGCCGCCGCCATCTCCTCACAGGCACTTCCGGAACAAGAAGCTACCCTCGCTCCTGTGGCAGAAGCACGCCCGGCTCCGCCATCGCGGCGCCTAAAGCAACCTCTCGTTTGTGTCCATCGCACAGCGCCACTTTGGTTCAGGCGGGGAATTACCAAAGGGATGGGAAAGTCACACAGTTTTTTCTGTCAGCGTGGCTGTAATTTCTCCCTGTGCAAAGTTCTCATGTTTGAAGGAAGCAAGCAAGCCTGGATGAAATTTACTTTGTGAACCTTAATTTGAGGAGGCAAAAGCAGATGTCGCATCACGTGGGCTGATTAAATACTGATATTTAATGGATACGAATATTTAATCATTAAGTGGGCTTGATACAGATGCTGAATTTTAGAACCTGGATGGGATTGCACAGAGCCAGTAACTTGTCTGGAAGATCAACTATTTATGACAAATGCAGAGATTGGGAAATGGGTGCACTTTACTAGAGGTGCCCATCCAGGTGGCCTGGCCCCCAGGCTGCAAGCCCTTTATCACGCTATGGCCTTTTTATGTCATTTCAGAAATAAAACAGCATTTTTCTTTAATGACTCATTAGATATGATGTACAGCATGGGACCTGGTGTGTGTGTGTGGTGGTAGTGGGTGTTAGAGGTGTCCATCCTCTTGGACTGTTTTTAAAAAACTAATGAAAATGTCCTCTTTTGGGGTTGGAAGGTTAGGAATATTCCTAGTTAGAAGCAATTATCACAGCTTAAATAGAAAGGGAATTTAAAATGAGATTCGTCATAGTGATCATTTGTTTGAAGTAGTCAGTCGGGAAATATTTCCTCTTTTTTGTTTTTCAAAATATGGTATTTATTGCATCGTGTATATTTTATTAACGAACTGATAAGTCAAGACAACTCTTTTGCATTGTGCATATTTTTTAAGACGCTTCTACCAAAAGTTATGAAACATGGCTATTGCTGGTGGGTGGTGCAGGTCAGGACAAGGCAGGGCAGCAATCTCCCTGCTATGTCAAGAGCATTACCAGACATCTGCAATCATGATGGAGCAGGCCTGTAGCTACAGTGGGGCATCTCGGGGCTAGGCCCCCTGACTTATTGGCAAGGCCCCACAACTTCTGATTCCTCTCAGGGCCCCTGAATAGCAGCGGGTGCAGGGAAGGAGCCGGGTATTCCTGCGCAGCTGTCCGGTGAAAGGGTCCAGATTAAATTACCTTTATTTTGATTAGCCAGTGCCCCCTAAGAAATTTAAATGCCCCCTGACTAAAAAAAATCCTGGCTACCGGCCTGTTATGGAGTGTGAATAAAACAAAAGTTGGACCATGTGACTGTGCTTGTTGGTGCCTCTTCTGTGTGGTATTCTGCCCTCACATATGTACACATGTACTTATTTTCTAGTACTACTTTTTCTGCGGGAAACCACTGTCTTAACGTAGGAATATTCTGGGCCAGTTTAAATGTGTATAGTCCCTATCGGAGCTGCTTTTGGACTCATGGCCAGGTGAGTCTCAGGATTCTATTGTTTCTTGCTTTGTGGTAGTTATTGCGCTACCAGCACAGAGTGTGCTGATTCATTCAGTGGTCTGGATTATCAGTCTTTCTGTGTTGATTGCACCAAACCACAAAATAGGTTATGGTCACTAGAAAAGTAATTGCCAGGTACTACCATAGAAGATGGGGCACTTTGTCATACTCAAAGACAAAAACACCTATAACACCTTACATGGTAATTGGTTTGCTGAGGCGTGAACTTGCAAAGGCAAAAGCCTACTTCATTGGCTACACTGAAATTCCAGTGCTCCCATAATAATACCCTATGCAATTTGTTCAATAGTGGTACTTTTTCTCTGAGGGCACATTTGGCACTTCTTGCATATATGAGAAAATTTGTGTGGCACTTTTAATACCTTCTAACACCACCAAAGCTGTTGATACAAGATTTTTAAATAGTGCATGTATGACAGACCCCTGACACTTCCCCACTCCCGGGCAGATTTTCCTGCCAAAAATATTTTTAGCTCCCCTCAGTAACTGAGCTGCCCTTCAGTAGCATGTATTTCCTTTTTTATAAGCTTTAACTGTCCCACACTGTTACAGATATTCGTTTAGGTACAGGAACTAGAGGAAATACAGGAGCTGTCTTGTTTTAAAATACCCTCATGAAATGGCACATGAGGCAAAATTAACTTTCAAAACAGAATAAAGATTTTAATAAGGCAGGCAATATATAAATATGAGGATTCAAGGTATAGAGGCTGCTGAGGTGAAACTTTCTAATATGTACAGAATTGAGATTTTCAAACATACAAGAGAGTAGAACAAATCTAGAGTCCAGTGGCACCTTTAAGACCAACAAAGGTTTATTCAAGGTATGAGCTTTCGTGTGCACACCTTTGTTGGTCTTAAAGGTGCCACTGGACTCTAGATTTGTTCTACTGCTTCAGACCAACACAGCTGACCATCTGGATACAAGAGAGTGTCTTGTTGTAGCTTAATTTCTGAGTTTCAAGTTCTTTTCAGTGAGAGGTTTTGCTTATTATATATTCCAGCTGTTACACAGAATATTAAATACAGTTTCTCTCCCTTTAGATATTATAGCTTTCCAGTAACTCTTGAGGTATCTAAAACCCTTCCCCTTGATCACAGACCAGGGTTCTCTTCCCAAACCCTCCCTACTGGCTAGAACTTATCCTTCTTGTCCCTAAGAAGCAATAACTCCTTTTCCTATTTGGCTTGTTTTGGAGTTCTCTCTAACTCCTCAAACCTCCTGCCAAATTCTTCTTCTAATACTATTTGTCTGTATGGTTAGCCTTGCAACCATTGTTCCCTCTAAGCTGAGTTAGTGTGAGCTAGCTCACGGTTTTTGAGCCTCTGGCTCACACATTTTTGTCTTAGCTCAGGAAGGATGGCTCCAGAGCAAACCAATTTACGCAGTAGCCAAATCACCTGCTCACAACTTTAATGCCAGTAGCTCACAAAGTAGAATTTTTGCTCACAAGACTCCACAGCTTAGAGGGAACAACTAAAGAAAACCCAGGCATTTACTGAATGACTGAAATCAAACAAGACCAAGACGTACACTTTTATATATGGAGTTAGAAAAGAGGTCACTAATATCTGTTCATTACATCCCCTCAGTGTTCACAATTTAAGTTTTCATATTTGCTACATTAAAATGGAATAGTATTATGTGTTATATTTCTACAAAACTGCATTTTCTTTCTTTCAGAAATCTACTTTGTTGCCTTCTAAAGTTTTGTTTCTGAAACACACTTCTGAAAATGCAGGCAGGATTGATTCCAGAGGGCTAGCCATGTTAGTCTATTGTAGCAAAATTAAGCAGGAGTCCAGTAGCATCTTAAAGCAGTATTCCTCAACCTTGTGGAGGCCATAGGCAGCTCTGGAATTCTGACATAGGATGGTGGGTCCAACCATAAAAATGGCTGCCATAGGAGGCAGAGCCAACCATGGAGTGGGGTTATGTATAACTAATAGTAAATCTTCAGCATTTCAGGCAGAAGCTGCATTTAACAGGCTGCCTGCCTTTTAAAATGAAAATGTTGTTTTAAGATATTTTGTTGCATACACACAGCTTACCTTCAGTAACACAGTGAAGATCCTTATGCTGTGGCCACAGCTGCTGCCAAAACAACATTTTTTAAAAACCCACACAGCCAATCAGATCTCCAGTGGTGAATCAGAAGCCTGGCCCTGCCCACTTTCTCAAAACACTTGGTGGGCACCAGGAAACATGTTGGTGGGCGCCATGGCACCCATGGGCACCATACTGGAGACTGCATTTTAAAGACTAAGAAAGCACATCCCAGCATAAGCGTTTGTGAGTCAGGGCTTATTTCATTCTGTGCACAGAGAATCCACCCAAAGCAGCTACATGTATCCTCAAAGATCAAGCAACAGAAAAGAGGAGGGGGGATTAGAATGGGATGCCTAAAACAAGAGTCTATGGAAGATTAACCAATCCATTCAAAGTGGATGAGAACCACTGCCAGTTGCTGATAGTTGGTGTAATATACAATCTAATCAAAGAAAGGCCAGCTTGAGATCCAATACATCATCTAAAGATGACAGCTAAATTAACTAACAACTGTAATGAGTGGGTCATCTTGAGATAGCAACTACAGTGAGTGAGGAAACAAAGGTCCGGAAAGAAATTAGAGATAATTTAAAATTCTTTCCAGAACATATGAGTCTAAGAGTTATTGTTCTACTTCACAAGCAATTTCAAAGGGAGATCCCAGCCCGAAAGTACTGAATAATGTGAAAGTTCTGGATGAATTCTTTCTTTCCCCTATAGCAGATGATGATAAATGTGACCTATCAAGTCCTCTGTTGCCCTTCCACTGAATCTAATTAAATCTGCAACACATCCCATATTAATTTTATGATGTTATGCAGATTAGGGGCTTCTTTATCACGAACCAAACCATCTCTCCCCCCCCCCTTTGGTTTAATTTGCTTGTTGTTCTGCGATATTTTGGTTGGTCATAATAAATATTATATGATGGCTGGTTTTGGAATTCATTGCCCAACAAAGATAACTACAGTCTTTTGTCTATTTCGGGAACTATTGGATTATGTATAAATGTACCTCTAATCACATATTTTATATTCATTCCACATTATTGGTAACCGAACATCTGAAGTCATGTTGTTGTACGCACAGTTTATGAAACACTGTTAAACATTTTGCACTCTGCCACTGACTAACAGAATGAGCTTTGCAGGTACACTTAACCTTTCTGTGATACATATGTTAAGTGCTGTTTATTTTTTAACTACATGCAGAGGTCATTTCGGGGGGGAACGTGGGGGAACACAGTTCCCCTGGGTGAGGTGCAGGGGGGCGGGGCACATGACAAAGCCCCGCCCCCTGCTTCCGGCCGCCCCGTTTCCAGCCCTCATTCAGCCAGGAGGAGGCAGGAGAAGAGGGAGGGTAAGTTGCTTCCTCCCCGCCTCTCCCCACCCCTGCCTGCCTGGGGCCAGAGAGGGCCTTGGTGGGGCTTCCTCGCACTCCCGCTGGCCTTGCAGGTCCACTGCCGGGCCCCTGATGTCAGGGGGTGTGGCATATGCTAATGAGTTATGCTAATGAGTTCCCCTAGCTCTTTTTCTACGAAATGACCCCTGACTACATGGACATAAATCAATCATGAACGTATATTCAAATATCCACTTTGGTTCATTGCTTAAATGCATGATGGGAAGAATGCTAAATGTTGACAGGCAGTTATACTGCTTGTGACCTTGCTTGTTCTGGCCATGTTCCTTCCTGATGTCAGTTAGTTTAAGTCAGATGAAGAACATATCTGCTACATACCCATATCTGCTACATTAGATGCCTTTAGAACTTCATAGCCTGGGAAGAAGGCCCATTGTTTAACTAAAAGAGGTACATTTTCACTTGAGAAAATGCAACCCACAGGTCCAGGCCCAATCAGGAAGGTATGATGCAGTTTGACAAAGTTTGCTGCAACCAATAATTCTGTTTCATTTCTCTGATGCAATGTGAAATATAAAACACTGTGTCTCCCTTGTAACCTCGGAGACACTGGTTGGTATCTGAGGGGGCCAACCCCTGTTTGTTTGGTTTCTCCCTGTTAATCGATTAACAATAAAGACCTCTGTTACAGTTTCTTCCTTCACAGAACTGAGAGTGTGTATTTCTCAAACTGGAACCAGGGAAACACAGAGGATTTGTACTACAATATTGAGTGATAAAACAGGAGGAACTGCTTGTACGGCAATCAAAAATAAATAAATAAATGGTGTAAGATTATTTTTTAAATCTCTCAAAATGGTTTCTAAATTGGCATCAGCATGGGGAGGGTAGGAGAGTGTAGCCCGAATTTTCTCATGAAGGGCTTGCAAAGATTTAATGTAACTCAAAAGTTGGGCTATAAATGCGTTAGTAATAATCACGTTGTTTGCTATACACTGTACTAGTAGTGCTCATTCCAGATAAGCATATACTGCAAACAAACCACTTGGACATCCTTCAATCAAGAGTGTACCCAAGAAAAAACGTATTGCAGGTGTCGTTGGTCTTGTAGCCCATAGAAAAGAAATACCGTATGTTTAGTTTATAGGGAGGATACACAGCTTAAATGATTTGTTTTTGAGGACTTCATTATCAAAAGAAGCTTTTGTTTCTCTCTTGATTCCGCCAGCGGAGAAGGCGTCCGTGCCCCTCCCAACCACTCCTCTCCTCTTTCCGTGGTTTCATATACAGAGCGCTTGAATGACGTTACAGGACTATAGTTCCCAGTATGCCGTTTGATTTACAAGCGACACGCACCCTATTGGTCCTCAATCCAAAGGTCAGTGCTAAAGAGCTTCGTCGTATGTAATCCCATCTTCGCCCTGTGAGGAAAGACTGCAGAAAGTGAAGTCAAAGACTGAGCGGCATGATGCTAGCCTTTCTGGGGTCCCTGCTGGCACTGTCCGTAACCGTCCCTCTTTTGGTATTCATGGCTGCTCCTTACATCAGGTTTGTGATGTGATGGGTTTTATTGGCTACTTAAATTTCTGAGTACTGAAATGCAGATTAACTCCCCCCACCATTAAAATGAGACTTCCAGAGTGCATACAAGAGAATCCTTGTATTTAATGGTGCCAGAGCAGCTTATATGGCAAGCCTCTTAGAACAACAATACATTTCTTAGTCTTTGAAGTGACACAGGTCTCCTTTTTTGGAGATTTTCTGAGCATCTGTCTTTACCAGTACCTTTATCTGCCAAATGCCTGTTATTAACACGTCCCTATATATTGGTTTTTGTTTATTAATTTTAATACTTTTATCTCCATCTTAATGTGTTGGTTGCGGGGTGGGAATCAAGCAGCAGACAACTTGTAGTTTGACTTTCTGAGCTTCAAGAAAAAGAATGAGAAGGTGGGGACAGGGTTGCCTCCTGATGGTCGCTCTGTGTCTTAATAGTTGCAGGACAGGCAGAAATTCTACAGATTTCCATTACCATTACTGAAATGCAATGACAGGAGAAACTGCTGCAGTTAGCAAATGTATTAGGCAGATCCTAAGTTGCAAATAAAAGAGAATGGCAAGAGCTCTCTTGGATCTCAATCTGAACTAGTTGTTAGAAGGCTCTTGAACCGGCAATAAAATGACACCATCTTGTACTTTATCTCGTTCCTTAGTAGTTATTTTTAATACTTTTTAAGAATTCCCACAACCTCTTTTATCTGTAAGGCTAAAATTGTGTGCTTATTTAGTCTCACTGAATTTAACAGAGTTCCCTTCCAAGTAAATATGCACAGGATTGGTCCATAAGCCTTTTAATCTGTTGTTAAAATTATCTATTTGGGAAGGCATCGCACTAAAGATTTTTTTTTAAATGTTCTGTAAAACAAACTGGAAAAACAACAGATATTCCAGTAGAATTGCATTGCTAATACTATTTCTATCAGCCCTTGTATAACTTTTACTCTGTCATAGTTTTGCTAAGATTAACTGTGTTATGGTTCTGCATTCTGTACTAGTTTAGTTAATTTTCTGTAATAGTTTCAAGACCTAAAGATAATGGTTGTGAAATAAAAGAGAAGTGTGAAGATGAGAATAAACCTGATTTTTTAAAAAAAGAGATTGCTCAACTGTATAGATCAGAAAAAAACATTGTTCTGTATCCATTAAGCATACAGTTCCAAAGATATAAGACACTAACATCTTCTTAAGAGGGAGCGGCTATTTCTGCTGGTTAACTCTCCTGATGCAGCCTACTGAGTCCCCCCCCCCCCAAATTTACTTTTCTGGAGTCAGTGGATCCTCAGAAACAGTGGGCGAGAGAAATGGGCAAAAATCACTTTCCCCTTTAAGAAAAAAAAGGTGCCCTTAAATCCTTGGAATAATGTGGTTGGATGCAGGCCATCATCATAAGAACGTAAGAAGAGTGTCAGACCAGTAATCCAGCTAGTCCAGCTTCCTGTCTCACACAGTGGCCAACCAGTTCCTCTGGATGGCCAACAGGGCATAGAGCCTGAGGCTTTCCCCTGATATTGCTTCCTGGCTCTGAGATTCAGAGGATTAGTGCCTCTGAAAGTGGAGGTTCCCCCCTCAGTCACCATGGCTAGTAGCCATTGATAGACTTATTCTCCATGAATCTATCTAATCCTTCTAAAAAGCTATTTATTCATGTTGCCATCACTACAGCAAATTCCACATTTTAATCACTCTGTGTGTAAAGTAGTATTTTCTTTTGTCTGTTCTGAACCTACTGCCCATCAGCTTCATTTGATGCCCTCAAGTTCTAGTATTTTGGGAGAATGAGGGAAAAGTCCTCTTTGTCGACTCTCTCCACCCCATGCATAACTCTATGAACCTCTTTCTTGTCCCCCCTTAGTCTTCTTTTTTCTAAGCTGAAAAGTCCCAAACCCTTCAAGCCTTTACTCATAGGGATGGTGCTCCAACCCCCTCATCGTCTTGGTTGCCCTCCTCTGTACTGTTTTTGAGCGCTCCAATGTCCTTTTTGAGGTGTGGTCACCAGAACTGTACACAGTATTCCAAATGAAGCTGCACCATAGATCTATACAGGGGCATTACAATATTGGCCGTTTTATTCTCAATCTCTTACCCGAACAAACTAGAGAGGACCTCTGCAGAGTCCTTTGCATCTTCATGAGTCAATACAATTATCCAATCCCTGATGCTGTAGCTTGGTGGCATAAGTATATACAAATATGGAGAAATTACCTGCAGTAAACACCATGAGGAGGTCTGGAAGGCAATCTTTCTGCTAAGGTCGTGAATACTAGTACTGGCATAAGGCTGTGTACTGGCTGGAACTCAAGTTAAGATAGGGCTTGAGGACTGCTTCATACTTACCTGGGTGGTATTAGAATTTCTAGTGTGATCCTTATTTCCTCAGTAATGGTCTCTCCTCATTACCACATGCCTGTTACTATTTATCCTAGTGTCTCCTCTGGTTATTCTTTGACACAGCATCATAACTGAGAAGAGGGAGTCAAAAGACTAACACACAAGAGTTGCTTTCATCTCTCACTACTTTCTTCAGTTTGGTGGAGTGAAGAAGAATAAGATGTTTGCTGCTTCTATATACATATATGTGCCTAATGGTGGAATATTTCATGTACCTGATGAAGTGCAAAAATGCCACTGGACCTTGTTGATACAGAATAACATGGGTCCCCTTCTGGAATTATTATTTTCATGTCCATTTTTGTCTCTCTCACTCTAGTGCTCTGTTGGTCATTCTTCTCTTTCTTTTTCTCTTAAAAACAGAATGACAAAAAGAAAATGACCATTGGTATGATCTACTTTAGGTTTGGATATGCCTGTGTAGGAGGTCACAGCACTACAAGGCCAAAAGATGTTAGGACACACAATGGTGGTAGCAACACTGCACAAAAGCAAGAAGACAAACTAAGGTCCCTTTCACACAATCACTGGCAACTTTGCTCAGCTACAATGCTGCTACTAGGGACTGTATGTATATATTGCTTTTATGTGGGTGAGGTTGAGAAAGGCCTCTTTCTCACTTGATCATCCCACCTATGGGCTTGTGGTATGCACTTATGTTCCCCAGTGCTAAGGCATAGCACTACAAAGAAGTGACTCCCATGCTTCAGGGTGTATGAGAATGTGTGTGAGAAAGAAGACTGAAGAATACCTGATACGTATCAGGAAAGTACAGCTTTTCAGATCTAATGGAGGACTTTGACAACTAAAACAGATTTCTGTCCACAGAACATGACTTCCTTGCTTCCCACTGCAGGTCAAAATGCCCCCCCCCCGCTTCTCCTGGGGAATGGGACCCCCAGGATCATCCGGGTGGGGTTGGAGAACTGCTGTGGGAGGGAGAATTGGCAAAATCTCCCCGCTTTTCCATATGCAGAAGTCCTCTGTGGGAACCACCCTTCTATGTACATATAATGACACTTTCTCTTACCACTTGAATGTATGAATTACTTATGCGCTGTTATGTTTTCTAGGAAGTACATTGCAGGAGGAGTGTGCAAGTCTACAGTGAAGCTGAATGGAAAAGTGGCTGTGATCACTGGAGGCAGTACCGGCATAGGGAAGGAAACTGCCAAAGATCTTGCAAGAAGAGGCGAGTTGGTATCCCATTTCATCCCTACAAGAGTATTTTAGAGATCATGGTACCTGCATAGACAATAGAGATGTGGGACAGGGGTTGTAATAGGGAGAGGAATTAAGTGAGATTGACTGAAAAAAGCTGTCTGGATACAGCACAATAACTTAAGTCTTCACTGACCCTCACAGAAAGATCATAAAAAGAGTTGCTGAGTACACGGAAACTGTAGCTTAGCCAGGGCACTCTATTACCACATCTTTCCTAGTGAAATCACAGCACTGTTAGTAAAACAGTATTCGGTTTTGTGCTCATTATTTTTTCTGAGCTGCTTAGCTCATTAGAGCAAAAAACAATACCACCTTCATAATTTGTGTAAAATGAAGTGTTTGAGCCAAACTGGGGCCTCTAGAAGCTATCCTAAATCCGTGACTTTCTGTCCCATTATTGCATGGCAGCCCAGAAGAGAGCTGCTGGCCTTTCTGCTGTGGGTGGGGCAGCGCCAGTCCCACTGGCCAGAAGGTGGCATAGCAGCTTGCTCACTTAGATGTTGCCATGATACACAAGGGGGCAGTGAGGTTTCACCTGACTTGCAGGTCTTCAATTTCTGACTTTTGCTCAGAAAGCTGTTTCTCACTTGATGATCTCTCTGGTTGTTGCGATACACATGCACATGTTGTAGTGGCATGGTTTTGCACCATTGGATTTCAGTTGGTTTCTCACTCTTTTATCAGAATGATTCACATTGACAGAATGGACAAAGCTGCTTCTGTACAATGGTCCAGCTATCCTGCTTGCCCAGTGCCTGACTGCTTTGCCTCCACAAGCCTGCATAGCTGGTTGTGATTGGCTTTCTGCTTGTCTAGTGTATTTATTTATTTGATACATTTTTATTCTGCCCTCCCTCCAGGGGACTCAGGGTGGTGTACATGGTTCTGTTTGCGATTCTATCCCCTCAACAACCCTGTGAGGTAGGTTAGTCTGATTAGCCCACGTTCATCCAGTGAGCTTCCATGGCAGAATGGGGATCTGAACCTGGGGCTCCCCTATCCTAGTCAGACATTCTAACCGATACACCACAGTGATTCTCGCTGCTTGTCTGAGTGCACTTCCAGCCTTTTGGATTCACTATTACAATAGCATTTTGTAATGTTTAACACTTGAGTGACTTCTGTACTGCAGTCTTTTCAATGAAATACTATTAGATCGCTCCTCCAGTGAACCAAAGATATCAGAACTGCAGTGTAAGCTCTTTCTAGCTCTGAGCTACACAGCTTCTACGTTATAAACCCACTGGCATTATAAAATAGTTTCCTGTTTTCCTTATTGCAGGTGCCCGAATCATCCTTGCTTGCAGAGACATGGCGAAAGGAGAAGCAGCGGCCTGTGAAATCCAAACCTCAACTGGGAACCAGCAAGTTATTGTGAAGAAGTTAGACTTGGCAGACACCAAGTCTATTAGGGAATTTGCGGAGAATTTCCTAAAAGGTATTTAAACAGCTTTTATCCTACCTTTCCAAGCAACAATATTTGCTTAAAGCAACTAACAGCATTCATAACAGATCAATAAAATAATCAACAGTAAAAATGCCACATACTGTACTAATAAAGAAACATCTTTATTAGTACAGTATGCATCTAGTACAGTATGCATCTAGTGAACCAGCAGCAAAAGATCTCGCTTGAGCCACAACCAGAATGAAAACTAAATAGCAGCTGGTTCAAGGTTTTATTCACGGTCTGTGACCAGAACATAATTCACAAACAATAAAATGCCTCATTAGGGCAAAACAACAATAAAATCATTCACAATACAATTTAAGCAATACCTCAATGATAAAATTGTTCAGAATACAGTAGAATACTATGATGTTTACTAAGAAGTTTAAAATCTTAACAGTCCTCTACATGAGCTATCACAGTTTTCCTGTGCCTTGCAGCAAGCCAGCCAAATCTAGCTACCTGGTAAGTAACATTATGGTGCCTGTCTGAGAGAAGGCTCCTCAGAAGGCATGACTTCTGTCCGCAGGTTAAAGGTAATGACATAGGAAGAGGAAGGGATTTATGAAATTATACACATTGCAGTCGAAGAGGACGCGGTCTAGTGATTCCATACCTTAATTACAGCAAGGGCAAATCCTTTCTTCATAAGGAATCTTTTTATACCGTCCTTCAAGGGCAGCTGAGGGAAGTGTGTCACAGCGCATTAGCCTTAACACTCTCTTATACTCTTGATTTAGTAGGTGGGAAAAGTAAGGGCTAGGGGTTGCCCTCATAATGGGTTCCAGGCAAAGTCTCCCTCTCCCTATTCAGATCATATTGCCTGGCAGTGTCATTAATCCTCTGTCAGACTATAGCCTTGGCTTTATCATCACTCAGAGAATAGCAGCTGAAATCAGAGGAAAACAAATCAGCCAGCTGAATGCCTGACCAATGAAACAGACTTTGTCTGGCACCAGAACACTAATAAGAGAGGCTCCAGGGAAAACTCTTGTGGGGGGGGGGAGGTGTTCCAAAGATATCCCTCTCCACTCATTCAGAAGGTGGGGGAAGTTGTTTATTTTCTTATTAATTTATTTATAGTTTGCATTTATCACAAGGACTCAAGGTGGATTACACATAGTGATTCAGTACAATCAACAAAATGTGACTAGAAATATAAAAAACAGAACTAAAGCATAGCATTTTAACATGACACATTAAGTGGTGCAAAAAATTATGTAATAGGATCCTACTTCCAGTAAACTATACATAGCAGTATAGATCACAGTCCCTAATCATTTAACCAAGTAAGTTTGCAGACCATTTTGTATAGTGCTACCCTGTTATCAGGAGCTGCGGTGGCTCAAGTGGTTAAGATGCTGAACTGCAGGCTGTGGAAGGTCAGTAGTTCAGCAATTCGAGACCCGAGTTGCCGCATGACAGCGTGAGCTCCCGTCTCTAGTTCCAGCTCCTGCCAACCTAGCAGTTCGAAAGCAAGAAATTGCAAGTAGATAAATAGGTACCACTTCGGTGGGAAGGTAACAGCGTTCCGTGCGCCTTGGTGTTTAGTCATGCCGGCCACATGACCACGGAAACGTCTTCGGACAGCGCTGGCTCTTTGGCTTTGAAACGGAGATGAGCACCGGAACCCTAGAGTCGGACTCGACTGGCTTTCGAGCAAGGGAACCTTTACCTTTACTTTTTACCGTTACCTGTTCAAAAAGGGTCTCTTTTGGGTTTTTTTTTAATTTTTCATGTGCGTGCATATGAGCATGTGTGCACCTGGAAGTCATGGTGACCTCTGGTGACTGACCCCTACTGGGGGCCTGGAGAATATTCAGAGAGGTGGCTGAATAAAGCCTGCCCCTGCCTCCTGCCTCCGGTATTTCAAGGAGGTCTCCCATCCAAGTACCTCCCAGAGTCGACCCTGCTTAGCTTCCGAGATCTGGCGAGATTGGGCTTGCCTGGGCTATCCAGGTCAGGGCCAGGTCTCTTGAATAATTCCGTTTTGCATGGTTTGTGGAAAGCTAGGAGAGTGGGAGCCTTCCTGACCTCCTCAGGCAGCCTGTTTCCATAAGGTGAGGGCCACAATGGAGAAAGCACATGGATGGGCAGTGGTTGACTTTATCCATTTGCAGACTGGCACTTCCAGAAGGCCCTGCTCAGATGAGCCAAGCTGTTGTGGTAGAACATAGGGCAGGGGTGGCCAGACTTACTTAACATAAGAGCAACATAGAATAAACGTCAGATGTTTTGAGAGCCGCAAGACATGAACAAATAAATACCCACACGTTTTTATTGGGAAATATCCACATTGGCTTTTTATTAACATTAAATGAGCCTGCCAAATACTTTCCAGATTTCTTAAGTTGATTGTAGGAGGTTTTTCTAAGTTCCCCATCATTCCGGGAGTCACAGCTGCATGTCCATGTCTGGCATCCATGTCTGGCATGGACACTCTTGCTGGTTCCTGCTTCAGGGCGATCTCGGACTACAACCTGCTTGTCGCTGCTCACAGGGAGAGCTCCTTGGGTAGCCCAATGGAGCTTGAGGTCCCTCAAGCTCCTCTAATAGAACCGGCAATCTGGCTGCTTAGAGAGCAAGCCCCGAAGACGACTGTCTTTGCCGTGCCGAAAACCGGAAGTCCCTCATCAAAGGCTCCTAAGTAAGCTCAATAGTCATGGGATAAAAGGACAAGTCCTTTCGTGCATCAAAAACTGGCTAATTAATAGGAAACAGAGAGGGAGTATAAATGGGCAATTTTCTCAGTGGAGGGTGGAAAGCAGTGGGGTATTGCAGGGATCCATACCGGGTCGGATGCTTTTTAATTTGTTCATTAATGATTTAGAGTTGGGAGTAAGCAGTGAAGTCACTAAATTTGCGGATGACATGAAATTGTTCAGGGTGGTGAAAACCAGGGAGAATTGTGAGGCACTCCATAGGGATCTCTCGAGGATGGGTGAGTGGGTGTCAACGTGGCAAATGGGGTTCAATGTGGCCATGCACATTGGAGCCAAAAATCCTAACTATAAATACATGTTGATGGGGTCCGAGCTGGCAGAGACTGACCGAGAGAGAGATTTTGGAGTCGTAGTAGATAACTCACTGAAAATGTCAAGACAGTGTGCGACTGCAATGAAAAAGGCCAACGCTATGCTCGGGATTATTAGGAAGGGAATTGAAAACAAATCAGCCAATAACATAATGCCCCTGTATAAATCAATGGTGCGACCTCATTTGGAATACTGTGTACAGTTCTGTTCACCACACCTCAAAAAGGATATTATAGTATTGGAAAAAGTGCAGAAAAGGGCAACTAGAATGATAAAAGGGTTGGAACACTTTCCCTATGAAGAAAGGTTAAAGCACTTGGGGTTTGGAGAAACGGCGGCTGAGGGGTGACATGATCGAGGTTTATAAGAAGTATTCCCAAAGGCTCCCAGCCTGCAGAAGCAGCTCTGCACTGAGGAGGAAGCAGCTGCAGGTAAGCCTTCTCCCCCGGCACCGGTGGCAAGGCCTGAGTGGCTCCCAGTGGCTGAGCCCACCAAGCCTTCTCCTGCCCCCCTGGCACCAGCAGCGAGGTCTGAGCAGCTTCCAGCCGCCGGCCCACCGAGCTTCCCCCCCCCAATGGCAGTGAGGCAGAGTTCCCAGAGCATTCTCTGTGCATGCGCAGGAAATACTCTTTTACTTTTGGGGGGATTTAAATATCCCCTGTATAGTTTTTAAAACTTTTCAGATTTTTCTGCACACCTGGGGAGTGCCGCAAGTGTGCAGGAAAATCCCTCTGCCCCCCAAGTGCCCCCAATGTGCGGATTTAGATATCCGCACAGAGGGGGCATCTTGGCTATTGGTGTACAGATATGGAGCATAAGTCCATCAGTGGCTATTAGCCACAAGATATATATAGGAACTCTGGGGCAAGTGATGCTCTGTATTCTTGGTGCTGGGGGGCAACAGTGGGCGCGCTTCTAGTGTCCTGGCCTCACTGGTGGACCTTCTGATGGCACTTGGTATTTTTGGCCACTGTGTGACAGTGTTGGACTGGATGGGCCATTGGCCTGATCCAATATTGGCTTCTCTTATGTTCTTATGTAAAAGGATGTTCATCACTGGTGTCTGCTTCCTGCAGTATGAACCATGGGAGGATCTGAAAGAAAGATGACAGCCGTGCTGCAGATTCTATCATGTTAAAATTTCCTCTGAAACTTTTATGCTCTCTGTGTCTGTTTCTTGTAGAAGAGAACGAGTTACACATCCTCATTAACAATGCAGGGGTGATGATGTGCCCCTACTCCAAGACGGCCGATGGCTTTGAGATGCACATGGGAGTCAATCACTTGGGTAAGGCCCTGAATCACTGGTGTGTGGATGTACCCATTACACTTCCATAAATAACCAAGGGGAAAATTATGTTTCATCTAGGATGCTTTTCTTCTCATCTAGTTGCTCAGGAAGACTATGAAGTAGGGGCACATTGTGTGGCCTAAAACACACATTTTGGCTTGGCCCAGTTTCTTGATAAAGGTGCAACAGACAAATCCTGCTATACTCTGGTCACACATACTGAGGTTGTCAAAAAGGCTGCCTTTTCTACACCCTTTCTTCAGAAGTAAAGAATTGTAAATATGGCACAGTAGCTCATTTGTGTGATAGTGTGGGGCAGAGACTGGCAAATCTTTGCACAGACAGGGAATAGAGGTACAATCACAGACGTTTCATTCTAACCATAGGGACAAGTAATTTATTAGACATTCCTGTAAGCTGTAGAGTAGGGTGACACAATGTTAACTTATTTCTCCTGAATCCCTGTTAAGCATTGTAATCAAATTGTAATCATCTATCATCTCTCTTTCTCAGGGCACTTCCTTTTAACGTTTCTATTGCTAGAGCGCCTGAAGCAATCTGCTCCAGCTCGCATTGTGAACGTGTCATCACTGGCTCATCATGGTGGGAAGATTCGTTTCCATGACCTCCAGAGTGAGAAAAGCTACAACCGGACCCTGGCCTACTGCCATAGCAAACTGGCCAATATTCTGTTTACCCGGGAATTGGCCAAACGCCTGCAAGGTCAGCAGCGTGTGTTGATAGTGCCATGTAAATAACAGCCTCATCTGACTTACTCTGTAGAAAGCTGAGGATATTTGGAAAGTGTGTGTGCGCTTAAAAACAAAAGAGATAGTCAATGCACCATTGTTTCCATGGGAGAAAGCAAGCCTTTGGAGTTCTAAAAGCTGTAAGCCTAGGCACACTTCCTTGGAAATAAATCCCACTAAATATTCTTGGGACTTACCTTAGAAATAAAGGTGGAGAGGAGAACACTGCACATTTGAACAGGTGGAGGTAAACTTTAGCATCATGTCCCTTTTGGGAAAAGGTCTAATAATAAAACAGGGAATCTGCAGTAGACCTGTGATCCATGGTGTCACGGTTCAGGAGGGGTGTCACCTGACACACCCACCACTCTGGATTTAGGTTCCCTTGAGAAGGCCCAGAATACCAGTTTGGTGTAGTGGTTAAGTGCGCCAGTTTGGTGTAGTGGTTAAGTGCGCCAGTTTGGTGTAGTGGTTAAGTGCGCCAGTTTGGTGTAGTGGTTAAGTGCGCCAGTTTGGTGTAGTGGTTAAGTGCGCCAGTTTGGTGTAGTGGTTAAGTGCGCCAGTTTGGTGTAGTGGTTAAGTGCGCCAGTTTGGTGTAGTGGTTAAGTGCGCCAGTTTGGTGTAGTGGTTAAGTGCGTGGACTCTAATCTAGGAAAACTGGGTTTGATTCCCCACTCCTCCACTTGCACCTGGCTGGATGACCTTGGGCAAGCCATAGTTCTGGCACAGCTGTTCTCTAAAAAGAGCAGTTTCTGTCAGAGCTCTCTCAGCCCCACCTACCTCAATAAAATAAATAAATAAATAACTAAATAACAGGCGTGAGGACCCGGCAGATTAAAACAAGGAAAAGGTTTATTTTATAGGTCAAACAACAAGGTGCAGAATAATAACAGTAAGTGGGTGAAAAGAAAAGAAATCAAATGCCCTAACGCGTCTAAATATACTGTCCCCCTGTGTCTCAAGTGGCCTTACACTATTCTACCCCACCCTCAGGATGAGGGTTTTTCCCCTGCAGCAGCCTTCCTTCTGGCTCTGCCCTCTGGAAGAAAGAACAGCTCTTCCTGCTGCTCCAGAACTTTTATTCCAAGCCCTCTTCTTTTCCTATCGGTCCATTTTGCTCCAAAACCTCCCAGGGGCTTCTGGGAGTTGTAGGCCCAGCCTCACCTACTGCTAGCCAGGCTCCCTGGGCCTAGTAGGCCTCTGGTGGCACAGCCCAGATCATGACACATGGAATCAAGTGTGTCTTCTACTGTGTACACCTGCAGCATGGAGTCAGGACCAATCTTGGTTCCATGGAAATAGGACATGTTCATCCATCTTCATGGTATAAAACTAAAAATTGCAGCATATATTTAGACAATACTTTATATGTAGACATATGAAAAATATAACTCATGGTTATATGACTCTTATTCTTCAGGTACTTTCTTACTGCACTGTAACATATTAAGAAACTTTACTTTTGAACAGATCGACATTTTCAGTATGTCTTCTGCTATATGCATGATTTCTTTTTGGTAGGTACTGGTGTCACTGTAAATGCTCTGCATCCGGGCTCTGTACAGACTGAATTGACCCGTCATGTACCTCTAGTGGATATTATCTGGAGGAAGATAACTTTCTTCTTGAAGACACCACAAGAAGGAGCCCAGACCAGTGTGTATTGTGCAGTGGCAGAGGAGCTGGAGTCAGTGAGTGGGAAGTATTTCAGGTAGGTCATTTATTGGAGAGTATTGGTTCAAGTTGGATTTCTGGGGAATAATAATCACTCAAAATGTTGCTTATGGTCTGCTCTGGTCTAGTACCCGGCCCGCCAGACTTGGAAAACAGTCTTGGGATAACAATAAAAAAGAGTTAATTACAGCTAACACTTAAAATGCTGACAGTGGTTTATTGCAAGTTAGTTTAGCATTAGGTAGACTTCCTGTGGTGCAGGAAGTGTAAGAATTTGGTCAAGCTATGGAGTAATGATCAAGTCTAAGCAGCAAGAATGAATTTGTTCTAAATAATTTCCCTCTGTTTGGCAATAGCTATATTTTCCTGCAACTTTAATAACTGGAAGAATGCTTTTTCTCATGCTAGAGAGATACATATGCAGCACAAGGCCTGTGAGTTAGAAGAATGCTTTTTCTCATGCTAGAGAGAGACATATGCAGCACAAGGCCTGTGAGCAGTGTCTGTTTTGATAATCAGTTATTTTAGGGGAGGGAGTTGGAAGTCTGAATCTATCCTGCTTTGCTCAGATACTTGTTCATGCCAAAATCAGTGGCAAATATGCTTAAAGTGGAGGAGTGGAGAAATCAAACCTGGTTCTCTCAGAACTCTCTTCAGCCCCACCTACCTCACAGGGTGCCTGTTTGTGGGGAGAGGACAGGAACATGATTATAAACTGCTTTTAAGACTCCTTAAAGTAGAGAAAAGTGGAGTATAAACACCTACTCTTCTTCTGATTAAGGTGGATTAAGTAGCAATTCAGAAGGCAGGTTGAATGCTTAAATCCCCTCATGTAAAAAAAAAAAAGACCCTTACAGATTGAAAGCTAGTATGTCAGGGACAAAGTGTTTAACTGCCACTAGGATTTTTGCTAAACCCAATGTTTAAACTATGCCAGTACCTAAACATTCCTAACGGAAACATTGTCCTTTGTACAACAGTGACTGCCAACCAGCATATGTCTCAGCTCAAGGCCGTAATGAAGAAACAGCTAAGCAACTTTGGAAAGTCAGCTGTGAACTCTTAGGCATCAAGTGGGACTGAATGATGAGGGATCTTTTGTTGTAGCTGCGTGTTGCCACTAAGGTATTTGCTGTGAAAACAGGAACTGAGAACCCCCCAGCATTGTCATCTGATGCAAGCAATCCAAAGTGTAAATGAAGGATTAGTTTTCAACTTAGTTTCATACACACTTAATCGTGTAACAGGGGATATGCATTTTCTAACTTGAGAACAGCCACGCTACTCTTGTTTTCAACCACATGGCCAAGCATGGCAGTAGGAGCAAGGATCACTCACTTGTGCCTCTGCATACTGTGGTCTATAATCATTTGTAAAGCCAGGACTCCTCTACTTTAGAGGCTCACAAAGGTGCTTAAAGCTCTTCGACTGCCAGCAAGAGATGTGCTTAGCTGTTTAGGCTACTTCAACTTGACTCCTGGACAATTCAGAACCCATCCCTGTTTGATGTCTGGGCAGTTCTTATCACTCCTGGACAATTCAGAACCCATCCCTGGCAGGTGAGCTGGTCTATGTTTGATGTCTGGGCAGTTCTTAGCTTCTAATGGCTAGCCCCTGAGAAGAAGGCCCCTGAGCCCAGTGCGACAAATATACACGTCATCTTGGGAAGAAGCTTGATATTTAACTTTCTGCTCCATTAATCACAGAGAAAGTATTTGAGAGACCAAATTTTAAAGGAAGAAAGCTTGAGCTCAAGGCCCCTCCAGCATTGTGAAGACTACTGTAGCGTGTACCTTTTTATTAGAATAGACAGAAGAAGCCACATAAGGAATACCTGGGGAGCAAGGGGGGGTTGTCTTCTTTCACTTGACTGTTCTGTACTTTGGTGACTTCTAAATAAAACGTCTCAGTTTACATTGTTCTTTTTGTCTAAAGTACTATGCTTTGATTTTCACACAAGTTACTTAACTGTGATTGAACTTCCAACACTTCAAGGTTAAAGTAACACCAAAGAGGTGACCAAGTTTATTTTATTTTTGCTTACTTTACACAGAATTTCACAATCTCTTCTTAGGAGTATAACTCTTTGATTCATTCAAACAGTTCGAAAATCATTACAATATTTGAAAATACAAGCCAATTCCCAGGGGCACGTTCTGCTGGTGACAGAAAGAATACTTAGGCTGTAAAGTGCATAAAGTATAGTGCAAAAGGGAATGCCACACACAGGCCAGACTTTTCTGCTGAGAAGGTTTCTGTTTTCTCCCTCTGTAAAAGGCATATGTGTGTTCGAGGAAAGCTCAAAAAAGAAGGGAATAGAGGCAAGTAACAAACATGGTATGTTATCCATGGAAGTAGTGCATCACCTTCTAGCTTTCAGACTAGCCTGTCTTAAGTTTGGCAAACAACAAAAGCAGCTTCTGTCAGCCTTAATGAGATAAGCTTCAGAATCTGGGGGTAGGAAAACACAGAAGCTAAAAGTGGCTACCTTAGTTACCTAAGGTAAGCTATTTCTGGGCACCACATATAATGAGCTAGGCATTTACCAAAGTGTGTCTGTGACAGCACTTACAAGCCAAGTGAGGGAGAAAAACCACAACTTTCCATTTTATGAAGGACTGTGGGCTTACATAACCATGACAGTGATCAGCTGTAGGAAAACACAGAAGTTGCCCACCTTCAAAACAATACACAAAGTTAAAAAAAATCATGAAAAACTGCCTGTACTGGAGTGAAGTGGAACACAATGGACAGATCAGTGTTTGGCAGTTAGTTTGTCCTCATGTCAAGAGCACTCTAGCTTCATTTACAATCCAGAGTTTTGTAGGACAGAAGCCAGGTAACCAGTTAGGCTTCTTTTTACTTAGTGATCAGAAAAAGCATTTGAATCAAATTTGGAGGGCAGATGCTGGATACCCTCAGTTACTTAAATTTAAACCCAAGTCCCATTACACTCTGGACTACACCACTGTCAAGACAAACCTAGGAACACAGGAGAAGCAGGCCAAAATAAGACTACTAATTTGACGGCAAGCCTCTGTTCCACACTCCACTCCATTCACTACTTTTATTTTCTTTGCTTTCTCTTTGTATCTTGCCTCACATGGCAACAGGTACACAATGATTTGCCTGAATTGCTTACGTGGAGTACCATAGTACATCTGCTATTAAGTGAATGTAACAGGATAACATGGCTTTCACTGACAGTTTCTGCTAGCAGCAACCTGCTAGAGGGATTGTTTTGCTATTTAGAAATCTACTTTACCCCTTGGATACTGAAGTTGAGACTTGTGGATGGTTTCATGTGATGATCCCTGCACACATTTTGTAAAAGATGAGTATTTTCCACAATGGCAGAGAAAAAAATTACCCCCCCCCAAAAAAAAAAATGGGACTTTGCAATTTCATAAAACTGCAGTTGTGGGAGCAGTACAGACTAAGGCCAGATATAAATAGAGACACTGGCAGAGGCAGATGAGCTTACCCTATGTGTAAGTCAAACTGGGCTGCTGCACATAATCACTGGGTCAGTGATGAGATACTTGCTCTTGGTCACTGCAGAATCTCCATGAAACAGCAATAATATGATGAGAAGCAGCAGTAGAAAACGTCTCAGCCAAGTGTTCTGTATACCACCTGGGAAACTGATATCATTCCCAGCTCTAAGCAAGTGAGTAAACAAAGTGAACATGGGCAACACCTAAGGAGTCCCAGGTGCTGCACTGGCAGCTTATAAACCTGCTTCCCAACCGATACAGAAAGCCTGGGAAGCAGCTCAGGAAGCAAAGAAATAAATGGCAGGCAGGGATTGAAAGCCTCTTTACAAAACGCAATACCGGCTACAAAAAGACCATCTAGCAGACTTTTTAGAAGAGGAAACAAGCCAGCCAGGGTCAGTCTATTTAATCCAAAAACACTAATAGAGCCTCCGGCAACAGATGAAGTAAACTCTTCTCTCAGAGCGTGAGCAACCATTGCAGAAAAAGCTATGTGGTTAGGTCCTACACTGCAAGAAGAAATAAAAATTCTCCAAAAACGTGACGTTGATTTGAAGCGTAAATCAGAAGATCTACCAAATGGATCTAGAAGGTATAGCCTACACTTCAGAGGTTTTCCAGAAAAAGTTTCAGAATCCAAACCCAAAGTCTTCTTAAGTAGATTGCTTCTCTCAGTTAATACAAACAGAGGATGGAGTTGCTCCTGTGACAGAGAGGACACACAGAATTGGTCCTTCTGCCCAAAACAATGCCAGACTATTAAATTTCTCTACCATTGCACAAAAGATTGAAGAGGCAAAAATTAGAGGCCATCTACCTTTTCAAGATTCTTCCATTTGTCTTTGGGATATTTCTCCAGAAACAATGCAGAAAAGACACCAGATGAAGCCAACTATAGAAGAACTGATTACAGCCACCATCCGATATAATTGGCGCTTCCCTTTCAATCTCCAAGTGGATGACAAAGGCACTATGTCGCCAGCAAAAAATCCAGACCAAGGATGCCCACTATTCTCTTTGCTGGGAATTTCTTCACCAGGTCTATCAGCCTTTGGAAAACAAGGAGAGAGACAGCGGATGCATGCAAAATACAGATTGCTAAAAAAAAAACCTATGGGGAAACATGAAGAAAAAAAGAACCTGGAAACTTCCTGAAGTCAGGTTATGCTGGTTTGTGTCAGCTAGCAACAGGAATGCATTCCAAGAAAAAAACATTTCAGCACACTTCTTGTCTTTCCCATCACAATGCCAAATAAGAGCTTGTTAAGTATTTTTTGCCAACAGCAGCACAGCAGAGAGGAAACTTCTGTGCCATCAGAGCTGCCCATTGCCTCTCAATATGTATTTCAGAAACTACACACTGTATTCATGTTTAGGAACAACCAATTAACAGTAAAATCCATTTCTGAACATAAAAAGGGATGAAGAGAGAGTTGTTTTGATCGTGGGTATCCTGCAAGAACTTTGTATTTAGAAAACTGCAAAAAGATGGGCTCCAAATGAAAGCTCCAAATGAAACCCAGTGTGGTTTTCAGGTTAATAAAATAAATGGCTTGGGATAAATGCCATTACAGTAAAAAAGGTCTCTCTCACTGTTAATAATTCAGTCTTGCCTTTTCATGCTTAACACAGCAAGAACACCCTGAGACAGAGGTAGTTGGTTGTCACCAGGACACAACTGGCACTTTTAAGAAACCAATCCCTTCCACCTGAAACATCTGGGCAGCTCCTCTCTGCCTTGCTGTTAGCCAACAGTTCGCTTACTTTAACATTTACCATTAAGTTGTTCTCATCGGCATGATGCCAAGCTTTCCTTTCATGAATAAAAAGAACTCTACTCAGCTGGTAGTCACTTCTTGGTACTCTGAGCAAGCCAGCTTTTTGGCTTAGCTTGATGCACTGATAGCCACTGGGTACAAATGGCCTGCACCACATCTTCCCCACTGTCCTCAGCCAACTGCCGCACATGCTGAACCAACTGCACGGCTCTAGGGTTCTCTAGTTTCACGGCAATCAGGTAAGCAGAACGCAGCTTGTGGCATCTCAGATATGCTTGGATCTGAAGTACAGAGAGAAAGAAAAGAGATATTTGCTGGTTTCTGTGGCTAAGAAGACACAGGAGTTTTTAAAAAAATCCTCACAACTGAAGCAGATGGTGACATGCTCAAAGATGCACAACAGATGTGGCTGCTTTGTCGGCTAGGGGAAACACTAAAAATGGTTAGACAGAAATTATTTAAAAAAATTATTGATGCCTATCAGTCTGGAATCCTGCCAACCTAGCAGTTTGAAAGCAAGAAATTGCAAGTAGATAAATCGGTACCACTTCAGTGGGAAGGTAACAGCGTTCCGTGCACCTTGGTGTTTAGTCATGCCAGCCACATGACCACGGAAATGTCTTCAGACAGCGCTGGCTCTTCGGCTTTGAAACGGAGATGAGCACCACAACCCTAGAGTCGGATTTGACTGGCTTTCGAGCAAGGGAACCTTTACCTTTAATCAGTCTGGAAACTAATTGACTGCATTGTAGCTCTTGGTCAAAAGCCCTTTCAGGACTTTTCTTATGGATGTGTTGATACTTGGTAGAGATGAGCTTACGGAAACTCTAGCAAACTAATGATCAAGATGGAATATCTGGTTCTATTTTCAAGTATGTTACTGAGTTCTCTGAACTTCAGCACATCACTTTAAACTCTTGAACTCATTTTTTTCCAACTTCAGAAGGACAAAGTATACTTCCTCAAGAACCCAGGTTTTTCTTAGGGATGTGCATT